TATGTGTGAAGTACATCCTCTGGCCAGAAGGTGGCACTCTGTAACAGCAAACGAACCAAGAGCTGATCTGAGTCATACTGACTCATTGGTTCTATTTATCTTGTGTTTATGGTCCCAACCCATTACAGAACCTACTATTGATTTCAATTCTGATTTAAACTTCTTTAAACTTTTTGGTCTCTGACATGGACAGATTACTGAATGGGCCTACTGGATGCAAGCCAAGGGGCCCAAAGCAGTCTTTGCTTGAAAAACGTCACTCAAATTAACACATACTGATCAGGAGGAGATAGACATAGACAACAAAGAGCTGCAAATGAACTGCAGAGAGACACTAAACAACAACAAAGAGACACAAAATAACTACAAAAGGGGCAAAACAAAGACAAAGAGACACAAAAGAATCAAAAAGACACAAAATTAAATTTAAAAAAACACAAAATTACCCCAAAGAGACACATAGCAACTACAAAGAGACAAAAAATAATTACAGAGACACAAAACAACCTAAAAAATGCAGGAATTACCTCAAACTGACACAAAATAACTACAAAAGGGGCAGAAAATTAGCGAAATTACCTCAGACACACAAATTGACCACAAAAAGACAAAAATAAAAAGGGACAAAACAACCAAAGACACACAAAATGATGACAAAGAGATATAAAATATCTATAGGAGGGGCACAACAACCAAAAAGAGACACAAAAATACTACAAAGAGACATAAAATGACCCAAAATTACCCCAAAAGAAACAAAATGAATGACTATGAAGAGACACAAGATGACTACAACAAAAAAAAGAAGCAAATTCTCCACAAAGTTTGTGTGTGTGTGTCTCCAGTCCTATGTAGGAAAGGTACTGGGGCCTTTTACATGTCTGTGCCCAGGGGCCCACTGTCTTAATGCGCCCATGGTTTCTAACAGATTCCATGTTCAAGTCCAAGTCTGAGTTCCCCATTTTCTAAATGAAAAGCAATAATGAAATGAGCACAGATCAGGGGAAAAGGACAAAAAGTCAAATTCCTAGTTGGATTAATTCCTCAATCAAAATGGTGACACAAATTATATATTCATGTATGCACCTTAATGTATGCTACTGTCTCTGTACTGAGGCTACATGATAAATATAACTTTATTATCTTGAGGTTTTATCATGCAAAATGTGTGTATCTTCTCATTTTTAATTGTGCCCATCAACAATGTGGAGTGCTTTAGCTCCAGTTTAGACAGAGGTGAAGTTCTTTTCCTTTCCAAAAGAGGGCAGTAGAGTCTCATGTTGCGAGTGTCCGTCCACAGCCTCCTCACAGCTCCGACTGCTCATGTTGTACTTTCCTTGAGCACATCCTCCTCATGCTGTTTCATTGGGACTAATTACAGTGTCCTTCATCAAAAGCAAAATGTTAATGATTGATCCGGTTTGTTCCCAAATTGATGCCAAAATGGCTGCATTGGGTAAGCGTTTACTAACACACACACACATACCTAAAGTATACATCACATTAAACACTCTGCTCCTCTCCCTTCAGACCCTCCTATTGGTTTTATTTTCCCACTCTTTTACACTGTTTCCTCTTTCTCCCTCTGTGAATTGACGGACCAATAAGCCTTTAATCCCTTTAATACAAACTTCCAACAGAATCACTTTTTAATTGCATGAAATAAACAGTGAATGCGTAACCAGATCTCCTCTCAGGATAGATTTAGTTCGGCTACAGACGGCGGATTAAGTTGAAAAGTAAGCCTTCAAGTTATTTTGAGGGAGAAAGGATGAAAGAGCAGAGAATAGCACAGGATGTCACAATAATTCCTGTGCAGCTAGGAGTTCGCCAACACATGAGGAGAATAATCATATGGAGATGATGGTGGTGGCTCTGTGATTAATGGGCCCATTTTCTTTGCACAGCTTGGATAGTGGGCCTACTTGGCCCCATTAGGAAAAAGCCTAAAGCCACCCGGTTTCGCTGTACGCCATTCATCAGGCAGATATGAGCAACAGAAAAGCCTTTTTTTTTTCTCAACATCGATGAAATACGCACTTCGCAATACACAGGAACACATTTATGTATCGCTTTCATGCCGCTTTTTATGATACGATCTATGCATATGAATACCTGTGTCAGAGGGTATCATGTCTCTAGTAGCGGGAGTGAGATGCAGAGAGGAGCTGCGGCCGAGCTACTATCTCACATAATTGGTTCTACCTGCTGTGCAGAATTGGAGGGAGGAACATGCTTGTGTATTTCCTTCCTTATTTGATGGACTACAGGGAGCGTGAGCGGCAAACACTGGCCAGACAGCCACAGAGACATGCCAGTCCCCCTTTTAGAGCAGTATGCAAATCCACTGTTAAATTTCATTTTTCTAATCCCTTTAATCAGAAACAGGGGAATAAAGCCAGCTGGTAGGAACCCATGTTAAGATGTAATTAAGCATCTGATTGAATTTCAGTGCATACCAGAGTGTGTGTGCCAAGGAGAGAGTAGCAGGAGTAGGAGGAGGGGGTAGGAGATAGACGACGGGGGGAGGGATGGGCACTTGTACACCAGATTGAGCGTTGGGGTTGGTGGGGGGGGACACATTGCCCAGCGACGGGGGACCTGGAGCTCGCGGCGGGCTTGGTATTTTCCAGCATGCTCCACTGCATGAGTGAACAGCGATCAGAAGCACATTTTTATACGTTACCAGGAAGGCCCCCATGTCAATCATCTCCCCGCTGGCACTGGAATGGTTTTCTCCTGTATGGATCTCGACATAAGGTCCCAGAAAATAGACCCAAACGGCACGGCTACAAGTCGCCTCTATCAGCAAATATGTGAAGAAAAGCAGTGCAGAGGTTGTTATGGTACATTGTTTGCCTTTTGAGTGGATTCTGACACGGCCATTTCCTCCTCCGTCTCACTCAACTTGGGCTCACCATCACCACGCACCACTCCTTCAGGGTCAATGTTGACAGATATAACGCATGCACACATTCTGCAGCCCACCTGGGAACTGGCCAAATAATCCGTGTCTCGTTGACAAAGACGCATGTGCGGGAGGACGCACACATACATACATATACACGCGCACAAAGGGGACTGTAATGAAATTCATTCACTCAAAATGTATTCACCTCCAGACAGAGACAATATAAAGCCTGGTCTGGGGAGAGAGAAGAGCTGTCACACCAGTTTAGTTGGGCTTGGATACAGAGAAGATCCATTACTGAGGCCTTTCATCACCAAACATCGCAAGCTACCTGTGGGGCTCAGGGGTAGGGAAGGGGGGGTCGGTCGTGGGGAAAAGAAAGGCACACAAAGAAAGGTGACAGAGCTCGACAGGTCATCATGTGTGCGCCCTCCCATCGTCCTTTCACAGTCATCTTTCACCCTTTCTCTGTGCTATGGCTGTCAGCACCCAAGGCCCATCTGGTGGACAAGCTGCCCGCTGATGAACAGCGTTAACGGACACCCAGACTAACCTGATCTCAACTGGACAATGCAACCACAGTTGGTCAAGAATATAATGGAAATTACTGCATCATTTGCCCGTTACCATTTCTAATGTAACATTCAAGTTTAAAGGTCAAGTGTGAAGGATGTAGGGGGATATATTGAACTTAGAATGAGCTGTTTGTATCTACATTGGGAGCGGGTCCTTGTCTACAGAGTCCGTCATGTTGTACTGCCATTTTTCTACAGTAACTCAGAACAGCAAAAAAAAAA